GTGCACCACCTCCTTCGGCGGAAGCAGCCCCTTCTCGACGAAGGCGGCCAGCACTGCCTCATCTACGTTGGATGGCCTCCAGTTCGACATCGCGCTCTGGATTCATGAACAAATCTATGAGTTCTCCTCTCCTTCGCTTTACCCTCTCTCTCAGAAACCGCCTCGGCGCACAAACGTGCTTGGCAAGAAGGAAGGAGGAGGAGAGGCGGCAGATGGAGAAAGGCGAAGGAATGGGATAAAAACCCTCTCCCTTCTCCTATTTAAATGCGAATAGGCATGCGATGGGACGCGTCCTGACTGATGGGACGCACCCTGCCCAACGAAACATCACCCGGTTAAAGCGGGACATGGCCTGGGTTGGACCCACCACTACCACAACCCAGGCACAGGAAACAAGGCGCAATCGCATGCAAACGACCCTCCTCCTTCCCAAGCAGGGTTTGGAAGGGCCCACCGATAGGATCTCCATCGAGAAGAGACCAACAGGCTACCTGAGTCGATCGGACGGCTCAGGCGACTGCCAAGAGACAGATAAGGGGCAGTGGGATGCCCCATGCGGGCTACGTCGACTCCGTCACGAATGACATACACGGATCCCATTCGGACATATCCGATAAGTGCTCCTCAAACCCGTCACTCGAGTCATCAAGGTAAGCTTTACCAAACATTCTTACTTTATTTTCTGATGCATGATCATTCATTCATCTTTTCTCATACACACATTCACACATTCATTCATACAATCATTCATTCATCCCATACATCCAAAGCATCGCATATGCAATTAATGCATCACAACGCTTCGTGTTGCGTCACGAAGCGATAGTTGCCTCATTCAACATGAGCAATGACCGACCAGGGTTCGAAGGCCAGCCTGTGAAGGGTTCGAGGCCGCCTTGCACCAAACAGAGCCAGGGGAGAAAACGCAGATGAGCCCCGGCGACCCTTGCCTGGTATGCTCAAAAGCAGACAGGGTCATCTCGACCTTCTCATTCAATCCTAACCTCGAGCCATGCCCACAGAATCCCCATCGAGGGGAGGCCAGCAGGCCACCTGAGTCGGTCTCCGAAATGACCCGGGCACCTATCGGGAGGCGGCTTAAGGAGCAGTGGAATGCCACATGAGGGCTATGCCGACCCCATTATGAACGATGGACCCGGATTCCCCTCGAATGCGCCCGTTAGTGAGCTCATCGAGCGCGTCACTCGAGCCATCGAGGCAAGCGACGTTAGCTCAGCCCCTCTGGTTGTGCAAACCGCGGACGGAGTAACTCACGGAACTAGACCAACCCCTACCAAACCCAACAGGGCTCAGGGCCTCAGGTCGCCCAACGCCGACTTGGGAAATCAACCGACCGCGCAGGTCGTGGGTGGGACAAACACAGGCGAACACCGCGGTCGGCAGAAACACAGGAGTCTACGGCCCTAGGAAAGAGTACCGAGATACTCAGCCTCTAATAAACTCACCAGTCGGACGCAGGTTCGGGGGCTACACCCACCAAGTGTGCTCGCGCGCACCCGCTGTCAAGTCAAAAAATCCCCTAGACGATTCTACCCAAATCGCCCGGGGGCTCGGGGGCTACACCCACCGGGTGCGCTCGTGCGCACCCGCTGGCAAAACAAAAAATACCCTAAACAATTCTACCCGAATCGCCTGGGGCTCGGGGGCTCCTGTCGGGTTCATAAACCTGGGGTCCCTAATGGACCCGCTTCCTAGCAAAAGCTTGGCCCAGCAGACGGCATTACAAACGACGCGCAACTCCAAGGCCAGCCCAGATACCTAATGACAGGCCGGAAGAGCGATCCAGTCTTCGACCGGAAGGCCTAGCCAAGGAGGGGACGATGCTCGCTTCCGACTCCGACCCGCTTTTCCGACCGGAAGGCCTGGCCAAGGAGGAGGCGACGCTCGCTTCCGACTCCGACCCGCTTCTCCGACCAGAAGGCCTGGCCAAGGAGGGGACGACGCTCGCTTCCGACTCCGACCCGCTTCTCTGGCCGGGAATACACCGAACCTCTGCTTATGGCTCTCCTCCGACCGGCATAGTCGGAGCCGACTGGGAACGACCGGCCGGGGACGCCCGCTCGGTGAGGACCCAAGAAATCAGGCGGAGCATATAAGGTAAGACTCTCAAGTCAAACCGTAATACCGAGGACCGTACCCTGCGCACCTACAGGACAGTACTGCCAGGCAATGCTAGAAGGGTACTTTGTAACCTTCCGGACATGTCAGAGCATGAACAGTGTTGTGGGCGCCGACATTTGTCCTACGGTATGGTAGGCGCCGATACTTGTCATACCAGAAGAACACGATGGAGCCAGCCACGTGCATCTGGGCGTCAACAGTATTGTGGGCGCTGATAAATTGTCTTGTACCCGACGGCGTGGGCAACAAGACTAGGAAACGCTCTCTTTCTCTCTCTCTCCTAACTTGTAAGGCCATCCCCTTCACCTATAAAAGGGGATGCGCTCTCTCCCAACAAAGGACAATCATCCCGACTCTCTCTCTCTCTCTGCTAGCTTCAGACATTCTGAGTACTCGAACATGTTCACAGCTCTAGAACTCTAAAGCTACACAGAGCATATATTCCAATACTTAGCGCACGTAGGAGCTCCCGTCACTCTCGTCCCTTCAGTCCAGAGTCCGACTGGACCTCTAACACCCTCCATCTTATTCTCACTCGTTTGTAACCCCACAGCAAACTTCGAGCACCTGGGTTCATGAATAAAGTCACCGACCGGCTCAAACTGGACATAGAGCACGTTGGCTGAACCAGTATAAACCCTGTGTCATTGAGTGTTAGGCCACATCCGATCACAACGTACGGCAAAACGATAAATATTTACTTGTTGATCACTTTTCGCACCGATAATACCTCTCTGTTAAGTTCTTTGAACATACTGTTCACAAAAAAATTACTAAACTAGAATCACTGAACTACACAAACTCTAGGAAAGTACTAATTTGACAGTATGCTATGTAATCAAAGAGAGAGGTTGAAAAATCTACAATTCAGTTCTCCAGTTTCTGCAGTTCTGAAGTTTCATAGTCCAATGCGCTGTTCAGTGTTCAGTTTAGCGTTTGAGAAATATTCTTTCAGCAAGTTATGTCTAGTTAAATAAATAAATTTGTAATATGCAGAATCACTAGCTTCACTTTACTGAACCTAATTTTGGAGTCAGGTGATGATATTCTTCAATCTAGTGTACCATACAGTGACATGAACAGACAAAAATGTGAATGGCCATTACTTGTCAAAGATTAAAACCATATGATCTGATCCAGCATTACCCACAAAACATTATTTTCTTTTATTCACTCAGAATTTTCAGAGCTCACCTAAACTGACCCACGTTTACAGAACCTATTGACAAGAATGCTTTCATTCACAAATTGCTCGCAATAAATAAATATCCACAAATTTCTTCTCAAATCACATGTACATTTGTAATTGGCCTGACTATTAAATACCAAAATTGCATCTGGGTATTTGGGAACTCCCCGGAGTACATGCCGGACCACATTAAGCTAACTTCAGTTTCAAATTTTCAGGGCTCTTTGTATTCATGAGCTTGAAACACCAAATTGGTATCGATTTCTATGTTTTTTTCCTCACCCGTCTATTTGAGGACTTCTTCTTTTCTTTGTTCCTGCATTTTGTCACATTCTAATCAGTGGCGGAGCCACCCTAGTAACCAACAGTAGTACATACAATTCAAATGCAATAGAAATGTCTTTATTGTTCTCAAGTTCTATGTAAACTAAGGCTCTGTTCGTTTGTCTTATAATCCGTACTTTTCAGGGTTTTTTTCAGCCGGAATAGTGCTCTTCTCTCACAACAAATCAGCCGGAACAGTGTTTCGACTTGTTTTTTCAGCGAAACGAACGGGGCTTAAATTGATGTAAGCAATGAATTACTAAAAGTAGCATGAGAAAAAAAAAGTTAAAGTAGAATGGACAAATCAATATCTGGTGGGCACATTAGCATATACTTGCGCAATTGCTAGTGCGCTATTGTTAAATTTGTTAATGTGTGTGCAGTGTAGCCTTGTCTGTGAGGGAGAGGAATGAATTGGTTGCAATATACATACGGTACAAGCTCAACATGAGATGATGCTTGGCGCATAGCCCCTTGTCTATATGGCCTAAACAAATCAACAAATAGAACCATAAGATAGTTCTCAGAGAGTCACAGGGCTATACGAGAGAGAAATGAATTGATTACGGTATGCATCCGGTACAAACTTTGATGCAGGGCAGGGGGCCATGTCCCACTATAATGTGGCTCCGCCACTGATTCTAATGATATATGTGTCCTTGTATCTTTGTTCCAAATAGGCCCTTAGAGTTGAGAGAGGAGGGATGAGAAATAATTGATGGATAGATGGATGTGAGAACTAGGTGAACTAGCACCTCTGCTTAGGGTGATTTGTCTTTCACTTCTGTTGTTCAATCGCCTCTAAACTTGGTGTCCCTTAGGTGACGTCGCTCGCTTCATTCTGGTGTTAGAGGTCTAATTGCACCCTGCAGCCTTAGAAAGAGACTTGGAGGAGGTAGGTCGGCCAGACGTAGGACGGTAGGAGGCGGGCAGGGGGATGTAGCCGCGGGCCCACCATTAGCCGCAAATGGCGGGAGATGGCAATTGGGTCAAGGAAGGACGGAGGAGTCATGACAATAGCCCCATGACACCAGGTTAACACGACAAAGAGCAGCGGAGGCAGGCTTGGCGGTGGAGACACCTCTGAGGTTGGGAGGCGGCCGACGATCGGCGGAGGAGCCAAAATGGAGAGTGGTTTTCACCGTCGGTAAGAAGAAAGGGACAGTTGAATTGACACGTCCGATGGCTACTGTTCAGTGTTCACCACCTAATTTGAAAAAACAGAGTAGCGATTCCTTTGATCTTTCTCATTTTTATTGATGGATGGATACATTAACGTTGGACCATTGGTTGGCACTTGGCGTCCTTAAAATCTCCTCGGCGGCGCAGCAAGTGCTCGACCAGCTCATCGATGTAGCGCTCCTGCGTCGCTGTGTCCCAGAGAACCTCCTGCAATCCCTTGGCGTTGCGCGAGAACTCCTTGCCTTCCTCCTCCACCATCACCCGCCGCACGGTCCTCGCGACGTCCTCGCCGCGGAAACTCGCTGCCGCAGTCGTCCCACGGCACCTCCAGGCCGACCCGCCGCTCCGTCATCAGGCGCGCGGTGAGGCCCTGGTCGGCGAACAGGGGCAGCATCACCAGCGGGTGGCCGAACAGGAAGCTCTCCATGAGGGAGCTCCACGCGACGTGCGTCATGAAGGCGCTCACCGCGGCGTGCGCGAGCACGCGCACCTGCGGCACCCACCCGACGCGCACCACCCCGCGCCTGCCCACGCGGCCCTCGAACCCGACCGGGAGCTGCGGCTGCTCGCCGCCGACCGGCTTCCGGAGCGCCCATAGGAAGCGCACGCCCGCCAGCTCCAGCCCGAGCGCGAGCGCGCGGACGTGCGCCGGCGTCAGCGGCGCCTCGCTCCCGAACGCCACGTAGAGCACGGAGCGCTCGGGCTGGGCATCGAGCCAGCGCATGAGCCTCGCGCTCTCCTCATCGTCGTGCTCGCCCTCGCCGTCGGCAGCCGCGGCGCGAACGGCTGCCTCGTACGGTGCGAGGAGGCCCGTGGGGAGGACGGGCTTGCGGTAGAGGTCGCCCAGGAGGGGGCAGAGCGGGCCGTCGACCTCGTGGCTGCAACGGCACACGATGAGCGGGCAGCGCTGCGTTGTCTCCCAGATGCGGCCGACGTCGGAGATGCCGGACGCGTTGGGCTGCCACCCCCCTGCGGTCCACTCAGCCTCGTGGCCGCGGAATGCGAGACAGGACGGAGAAGGGATCCACGGCGGCGGAACGGTGAAGTCCTCCGCCGCGGATGGCGGGTGCGCGTCGTTGAGCTCCTTTGGGCCCACGAACGCGACGCAGGCCGCAGGGAAGATCAGGAACACCGCGCACGGCACCTGCACTTGCCACGGAGACGGTCGGTCAGACACTCGGACGAAATACGAGAAGGTGCTGTGGCGGTGATAGGTACGTGCCTTGTGCTCCTCGGCGATGGGCGGAAGCCAGTGCTGCGCGAAGTCGAGGATGATCCAGTCGGGCTTCTTGGAGTGCCCTTCTCTGGCCTCCCCGTCGGCGCAAGCCTCGGCGAGGAAGGAGGCGAAGGGGGCGGCAAGGCCGTCGAAGGCGATCTTAAGGAGCTCGACCTTCTCCGGCGGGACGTCGGCCGTTGACTCGGCGCCGTCCGGGAGGCCATCCACGAGCGGCAGGGGCAGTGACACGAGCCGGATGCGCGGCCTAACGTCGGCGGCGACAGGCCTCAGCTTGGCGAGGTTCCTCGGGGCACTGACGAAGGTGACGAAGTGGCCGCGCTTGGCGAGCTGCTCGGAGAGCTCGAGGAAGGGGGTGATGTGGCCGAAGGCGAGCCATGAGAACACCACGATGTGCAGAGGAGAAGACTCCCGCTTGTTGGATTTTTGCCATGAATGGTAATCTTCTTCTTGGAGCTTGATCGATGTGTGAATGCGAACACTGATCTTGGTGTGGACAAGATGTAACCTATATCTCTTATATATGTCGTTCTCAAAATATAAGCTATCCACGTCATACCCAACTAATTATCCACATCATCGCCTAATGATAGTTATGTCATCTATCTATATCTATATCTATATCTATATCTATATATCTCTTATAAAGTTAATCCCCACTGCAAGTCTATCCCAACATATAAACCATCTACATCATACCCTACACATCATCTCCTACTAATAGTTATATCTATATCTATATTTATATCTCTTATAAAGTTAATCTCTACTACAAGTCTATCTTAAATCATACTCCACTAATTATTTATATTATCTTCCACTAATAGTTATGTCATTCCAGTAGCTTTCAACCTCTAATCACAAGTTATCCATATAGATCATCCCCACTCACTTGATTCCAAATTCTTTGTATTAGCCGTAGCAACACGTGGGTATCTTCTAATTTAGAAGAAGCGAGTACCCAAGTGCAGGTGCAAACATATATGACTGGCTTGTTAGAATCAAACACTATCTCTGTCAAAAAGAATGCAACTACACATTGCGTGTCGGCTAAAGTGGTTCACGCTTTAATCAAGTTTCTAGTGAATAGTATTCATATTTATAAATCCAAATTAATTTATTATAAAAATACATTTCATACTTGTTCTAATGATACTTATTTAATATCATAAATGTTAATAATTTTTTATCTATAATTAATTAAATTTAAAATACTAAAACATGACACTGTGTTAAAATTACATTCTTTCTAGCATCCAAATTTGAAAGGTTCCGTCGCACCGCGTGAACTATATAGTATTTACTTGGTTCCGGGCATGTGAACTATCCGTCTCACTATTTTAGTAGCGTGTGAATATCAATGTATATCTTTTTTATTCTACATCAGTACTTTGATCAGCCATAAGATTTGAGAAGGAGGTGCTCAACTATGAAACAAATAAAATGGCCTTTTTTACCATTTATTTATTGAGGGTCCAATGTCAGTGCTAAGGTTCAGACAATATAAACTGAGTGAAATACACCACCAATCTTTAAGCTCGTCCACAGATATCATATAGATCCTCAAACTATTAATTTGTATGAGCACGTGTGTCAGGGTCGAGACGGCGAACTAAATGGAAGATAAATAGTCATTTCTAAAATTAATCGTATCGGTTAATCGAAATAAATACGAAATTAAAACTGACGGTCTAGCCAAAACTACATCCCCTTATCTAAGTTCACAAACACCTTATAAAGATCCTAATTAGGCAACAAAGGTGCCGGGCTAGTTAGAGCTCACCTAATCAATTCTAGGAGCAAGACCACACAAACATATGCCACTAGTACTTCAAGCAACGGAGAGCTCATACACATGCTAGTAAGCAAAAGCACAAAACCACCTATGCTCACTAGCAATACTCAGTAATAAGACTACACAAGTCAAATTATAGAGTGCAAATTACTTAGCTACACAAACTAAGCAATATGACTAACGAGACTACTCAAACCAAATTAGTCACGCAAGTGAGCTACTTCTATGCTACATGTCGATGTTTTGAACAAACACCGGCTAGTAAATTTATATTTATGCGCGTTAGATCCGGATGGTGCGCTAAAGGACACAAGGTTTATACTGGTTTGAGCTGAATGTCCCTACGTCCAGTCTATTGCTGCTCGTGTTATTAGCACCGAAAATGGTTCGTAGTACGGGGTACAAACGGTCGAGAGAGGGACTGGTCCCAAGTCTCTGATGGAAGGGTCGAAAAGATGCCAAGAGCCTGGTGGCGGCCCGACTGTGTGTGTGATGTGTCGCGGGTGTGTGGAATTGAACTCTCTATGAGTTCGTCTGTGTGTGAGTTGGTCCGTCCCTCTAGCGGGGCGTCCTGCCCTCCCTTTTATGGACCAAAGGGGGGGCAGGGTTTACATGTCGAAGAAAGGAGAAAAAACCAGAGGCCAAGAAGTCCCTCCGAAGGCGCTGGGTCTTTCTTTTCCTCTAAGCCAGCCTCCCTGACACAGCCAGACGGTGTCAGAGATGGCACGTTCGCCGGGCGTGCGTGTGTTGATGATGCCATGCTTTGCAAGTGATCACGTCCCGTCCCGCCCCTGCGGGCGGCGTGTCGGATAGGGGTGTCGATCTGCGACCCCATGGGGAGCGGACGGTGCGGTGACCGCTCGTTTGCCATTGTAGAGGACGGGAGTCCCCCTTGGAACATAGTGGTTGTCGTATGTCTGTATCGGGTTCTTCGCCCGAGGGCTGAAGGCGGCGCCTACAACACTGTAGGGCGAAGAGCACGCGCCTACAACAGTATTCAGGCTCTGCCACGCCTGGAAGGGTCTAAGCGCCCATCCCGTCACGCCCTGACGGTACTATCCTACAGGGGCGCAGGGCATGGTCCTCGATGCCGTGGTTGACCCGAACGTCTTGTCTTACCCTGTGCCTATCATCATGAAGGAGCGGGGTGCGATTGTCAGGCGAGGCGGAGCCAGCCTTTGGACGTCGGGTGAGGCGGAGCCCGTCCTCGGGCGTCGATCGAGGCAGAGCCCAGCCCTCGGGGGTCGGTCGAGGCGAAGCCCAGCCCTCGGGGTCGGGCGAGGCGGAGTCTATACCTCGGGGGTCGGGCGAGGCGGAGTCTGGACTTTAGCCGTCGGGTGAGGGGGAACCTAGCCCTCGGGGGTCAGGCGAGGCAGAACCGATCTTCCATCGTTCGGAAGAATCAGCGTCCAGTGGTTACTAGTACCACCTCGTTGGGTACCCCGGTATTAGGTCCCCGACAGTAGCCCCCGAGCCTCCGGGTGATTCGGGCAGAATCGCCCGGGGGGTGTTTCGATTCGCCAGAGGGTGCGCGCGAGCGCACCCGATGGGTGTAGCCCCCGAGCCCCTAGGTGATTCGGGCAGAATCGCCCGGAGGGTGTTTCGATTCGCTATAGGGTGCGTGCGAGCGCACCCGTTGGGTGTAGCCCCCGAGCCCCCGGGTGATTCGGGCAGAATCGCCCGGGGGGTGTTTTGGACCCTTCGCGGGTAGGGCTATGAGGTTTGGTTTCGTCAACTAGAAAGCTTTAAGGGAACCTAGGTGTTCTGTTTGCGGGGATTTTGTCCAGGGTCAGCCTGGCTGGGGCTCGACTTCGGATCGAGGCCCTATTGGCGCTTGTGTACCTGGGTCCCGTTCGCTTCACTCATGGGCCTATCTCCTGTTGTGTCGGTCATCGAGACCGTTGGGCTGATCCCTGGATGTTCTAGGCCCAAGTGGGGCCAGAGAAGAAGCATTCTGACCCATATCCCTTATGTGGGAAAAGAGTCTGGTCCGCTTGGGAAGGCGAACCGTCCAGCGCAGTTTTGTTGGGAAAGGATAGGGATCGTGGGCGCGTATCCCGCAATGTGATGCGGAGGTGTGTCATGGTAGGCTCGGAGATCGAGGCAGGTGGTTGCTCTTCTCGCATCTGTCGCCCCTATAAAACCACGGGGTTCGCCCCTAGGGTTCCATATTCCGCCTCCTTGCCTTTGCGTCTACAGCCTCCGCCGCCAATCGCCTTAGCCTCATGCGCCCGTACTGCCGCCGCCATCAGGCTCGCATCTGCGTCACAGCCACCGTCGAGCTCGTGCCCATCTCAGCCGCCGTCGAGCTCGCACCCACCTTTTTCCCGGTGTCTCAATGGAGTTGTGGGGCAGATCCAGCATTACCCCTCGGCGTTTGGAGGGCCTCGTCCGCCGTGGCCTCCTCCGCCCATCGGCCACCGCTGAGGGGTGGCTGATGCCTGGTGATGAGGGTGAGCCGTCACCGCCCAAAGGATATGTCATGTCCTTTGCTATCTTCCATGAGTGGGGATTCACCGTACCTGCGCATAAATTCCTTCGGAGGCTGCTGGATTACTACCAGGTGGAGTTACATCATCTTACTCCCAATGGGGTCCAACATATGGCGGCGTTTGTTGCCCTATGTGAGGGTTTCCTAGGGATCGATCCCCACTTTGATCCATGGTGGCACTTCTTCACCGTCAACTTGTCGAAGAGGCGGGTTAGGGGGAAGGAGGTGAGTGTGCCGATGGGATGTGCCAGCGTTCATCTGCGCACACCAAAGCGAGCGACTACCCGCTGATGCGTCTGTCGACCTCCAACAAGGGGTGGCATTCGTAGTGGTTTTACATCAAAGATGACGTGAATGCCCCCTTGCCAAAGTACTCTGGGCGCCTCATCGACGAGGCCTCGGGGCCGTGGAAGTGGGGTGTCCCGATCAAGGAGAAGAAGCACATCACCGACCTTCTCGCCGCCCTCCATACTCTAAAGGACCGGGGCGTGAAGGGTCGGGGATTATTGGAGCCTACCACACGAGGAGGGTGGCGCCGTTGATGGCGCGCGTGCTTCCCCTGCACCGGATGGTGCCTAGAGTGTCGTTTGAAGGGACGATGCTCGTCGATGGAGCGCTTCCTCCCTTCGAGGTGGCGCAGCGCATCAAGGAGGCGATGGAGCCCTCGAAGGACTCTGCTGGCGTCATCCTCGACCATGTGTATCCGGTGCCGGGGCATCCCCCAATGCGGCCGGAACCGGGGTTCTTTGACTTTGTAAGCTTTCTTTTCCCGCGCTCCTCTTTTTGTTTGAATTTCTGATTCCTTGATGCTAACTTTGGGATGGCAGGACCAACCGAGGAGACTATCCTTCAAGGACAGTCCGGCCCCGACGCCGAAGGATCGGGTCCTAGCGGCAGCGAATCGCACCGCGACCGAGTGGGACAAGAGGACTAGGGAGCTCAAGAAGAAGGAGATGCAATGGAAGCAGCAAGCACGGGATCGAGGGGAGGAGGTAAGTAGTGACGACGATGACGACGACGATGATGAGGTAGCTGCCGACGTGGATTGGGGCGTCCTAGAGGACGAGGACACGCTGACAAGTGCCCACCCGTTCCTGTTCCATGCGGAGGGAAGCGAGTCCGTGAGGTCAGCAGAGGTGGGCCGAACCTTCGGCCCGTCCTCGGGGCCGGCAGGAGCCGAAGAGTCCGCCGCTTCGCGCGGGGTGCCTGCGGAGGATCGGTGGATGGGAGGAGACAGACCTACCGCTGCCCCCGAGGTGTTGATGGAGGGGGGTGGCACTATTGCAGCGCCCCA